TGCCTTTTGCAATTGCAACAGAAAGAATAAAATACCTAGGAATAAATCTAATGAAACATGTGAAGGACATGTAATGAAAATTACAAGACCCTATTAAAAGAAATTGAAGAAGATACAAAGAAATGGAAAGATATTCCATGTTCTTAGATTGGAAGGATCAACATAGTTAAAATGCTTTATTACCTAAAGCATTATACAGATTTAATGCAATCCCCATCAAAATCCCATTGGCCTTCTTTAAAGAAATAGAACAAAAAAACATAAGATTTGTATGGAAGCATGAAAGACCCCAAAATGCCAAAGGCATCTTGCAAAAAAAAGAATCAGGCTGGAGGGCATCACTCTGCCCGACTTCAAATTTTACTACAAAGCAACAGTAATCAAAATGGCATGGTATTGGCAGCAAAACAGACACACAGACCAGTGAAACAGAATCGAGAGTCCAGAAGTAAACCCATATTTATATGGGCAAATAATTTTTGACAAAAAAGCCAAAAACATACAGTGGACAAAAGAAAACATCTTCAATAAATGGTGCTGGCAAAACTGAAAAGCCACCTACAAAAGAATGAAACTATACTGTTGTCTGTCACCACACACTGAAATTAACTCAAAATAGATTAAAGACCTAAATATAAAACCTGAAACAATAAAATTCATAGAAGAAAACATAGAAACTAAACTCAAGGACCTTGGACTTAAAGAAGATATTATGAATTGGACCTCAAAAGCAAAGGAAGTAAAAGCTAAAATAGATGAAGAATGGGACTACATCAAACTAAAAAGCTTCTGCTCAGCAAAAAAAATTGTCAACAAGGTAAAGAGACAACCATCAGAATGGGAAAATATATTTGTAAGTAATGCCTCTGATAAGGGCCTAATATCCAAAATCTACGAAGAACTCATATGACTCAATAACAACAAAATCAAATGATCCAATCAAAAGATGGGCAGAGGACATGAACAGACACTTCTCCCCAGAGGACATACAAATGGCCAACAAATATTTGAAAAGATGCTAAACATCGCTAACTATTAGGGAAATGCAAATCAAAACCACAATGAGATACCATCTCACACCTATTAGAATAGCCATAATCAACAGGACAAGCAATAACAAATGTTGAAGAGGATGCAGATAAAAAGGAACCCTCATCCACTGCTTGTGGGACTGTGAATTGGTACAGCCACTATGGAAAACACTATGGAGGTTCCTCAAAAAACTAAGAATTGATCTACCATATGATCCAACAATCCCTCTACTGGGTATTTACCCCAAGGACTTGAAAATCCGTATCTAAAACAATTTTTGCACATCGATGCTCATAGCAGCATCATTCACAGTATCCAGGACATGGAAGCAACTGAAATTTCCTATGATAGATGATTAGCTAAAGAAGCTGTGGTACATATATATAATGGAATATTACTCAGCCATAAGAGATGAAATACTGCCATTTGTGACAACATGGATGGACCTCGAGATAATCATGCTAATAAAATAAGCTGGACAGAAAAAGTTGAAAATCACATGATATCACTTATATGTGGGATATAAACCTAAAAGCAACAAATCAACAGGACAAACAAACAGAGACTCGTGGACAGGGACTCAGACTAGTGTTTACCACAGGGGGGCACAGGAAGAGGAGGGAGGTAGATGGGATAAAGGGGATCCAATGTGGTGACAGAAAGAAATCTAACTATGGGAGGTGAACACAGAGTGTAAACATATATATGCCTTACTGTTAAAATGTACAGCTGAAACTTATTGGATTTCGTTAACCAATCTCACCATATAAAGAAATTAATTTTTTAAAAAAAGATATTTTGTGGAAAAATTTTTAATGTGGACTGTATATTAGGAAATATTATATCATGTTAAATATTTCGGGATTAATAAGGGTAGTAGTATTTGTATAAGAGAATATCCATACTCTCAGGAGATATGTGCTAAGTATTTCAGCGTGAAAAGTCATGATGTCTTAAACAGTTTAGAAAAAGGAAAGTGAAAATCTCACACACATACACATACGTATAAATACATACACACACACAGATAAAGCAAATGCTACAAAATGTGAACAATTTGGTGAATAGATGAAGAAAATATGGGTATTCACTCTCTATTTGTCTTTCAATTTTGCAACTGGTTTGAAATTTTTCAAAATAAAAAGTTGAGAGAAGTAAAAGGATAGAACAAAAATGAAGACAAAGGAGTACTCATTTCAATTCTAAACATAGTACCAGAAGAAAATAGAGAAACTATACATTAAAAACATTAATAAAACTAATATAGTTATAAAATATACACAGTTTAAAAACTTTCACCTCAAGAAAAAGATAGGTAGTTTTAGTTTTACCATACCTTGTCTACACATATACACATTTGTAAAAGCAGAGGAAAAATTCTGGATAAACGTTATCAGCTATATGCAGATAAAAGTAGGTGAAAGAAAGGGAGAGAAAACTACGTTAACTACTACCAAAAAAAAATTATAGATTTAAATGGTAGCTTGATCCCAAATTTTAACCCTCTGGACATGACCAAAAACATCAATTTTTTTAAAAGAAGATAATCCCCAGTCACATTTTCTGCTAAGCAAGACCCATCAAAAAAAAAAAAAAAAGAGGCAAAAATGTACATTGTCTTACTTCTTCAATTATGTTGTTGATTTCAGGTGCTGCTTTATTTGCTCCTTTCTTAATCTGTCTTTTCGCTTTGTTTACACCTTTTTCAACTTTCTTCCAGTCGATCTGCACATAGCCACTGTGACTAGCAATCTATAAAAATGTAATAAAAATGGTTAATTCTAAACCAACTAGGTTGTTAACGAATCTATTAACCAGGAATATATGAACATTCAGATTTTGAGAAATCTATGAAGCTTAGAGGTGAGAAATCACAATTCATTTACTAATTCATTTACTTAACAGATACTGAGTGCCTACTCCCTGTACCAAGCACTGTTCCAGGCCCCCAAGCTATAGCCAAGAACAAAAGAGCATAAGTCTCCAACCTCAGAGAACTTCAGGCCCATTATAGAAAACAGACATTAAGCATAAATAATTACTTAGATGTGATGAACACCAATAAAAAAATTATAGTATATTAGAGGGATCATTTTATAAACTATATAAATGTCTAATCAATGTACTGTATACTTGAAACTAACAAAATAAAATTTTAAAAAATTATAGTATGATGGGAAAAGATTTCAAATATTATAACAACTATAATTCTATCATAACTTTTGGAATTTAGTAATTAGCTAAAAAGACAGATTATCAAAATTATACAGCTAATAAAAAAGCATCTTTTAATTAAAAAGATGTTTAATTACAAGAGATCAGAAGTGGATCAGTTATTAGGTCACTAAAGCAATCCAAAGTAGCTTGATAAAGATTCTTCACTAGATCTGACTCTACTTAAGACTAATTTCTGGTAATTGCTTTCGAAAGTAGAATATAAAAGAAATATGCTCTACATAAGTTTCATGCCATAAATCCTTTTAATAAAACTATAGCTAAATGCCTATTAACCATAAGAAAAAGTCTCATGGTACTACTGAGACACTGAAAAATCTGAACAGGCACAATAGTATGTGTGTAAGCCAGTACAGTTAGTTAGTCCCTCCAAACAATAAAATCAAAATATAATCACATAAGTAGTAAAGAATTAGGCCTTGTATCACTTCTATCAAACTTAGGCTTTCTTTATAATCTTTTAATGCATCACTTTGACTATTAACCACACAGAAAATACTTCAAATAATTAAAACAGCTGATTTTATATAAACAGGTTGGAAATCATAGGCTCCATTTTCACTGTGAATGACTACATAAAAGAACTTAATACATTTCTTCCTGTATTTATTTACCTACTATCACTTCAAACTCTATCCTCAGCAAAACAGTGGTGATTAGATCAAATGGCAAGTGAAAGCTTTTCCAGGCAGTAGTTGACACAGTAATTGGGTCACAGGCATGGAGATGATGATGAACCCTAGTGACTCTTCCATAGATAGCAACTATAAGCCCTGGTTAAAATATAAGAGCTCAATACTTAACAAAAGCAAGCAGATTTTGAAGGGGAGTTGAAATTTGTAGGTAGGGTAACCAATATAAGGTGAGTTGCCCATTTTTCTGGCTTTATCCTGAGGGCGGGATGCAGTTGCAGGGTGGATAACACTTCAAAAGAAAATATGCCATCTTTCCAGCCTGAAGAACCAGAGGACAGAGCCCAGGACAATAACAACTGCCAAAACAAACAGAGCTAAAGAAGGGGAGTCCCAAATTCTATATGTAAACTCTGTCCACATCATGAACCACACATTCATGGGGCAGAACCAAGCATTCTGGCTAAGGATAAAAGAAAGAAACTGAGATTTGAGCTGCTACCCACCACAGGTAAAATAAGAGTTTACAATTTGAATCTAACCAAGTTAACTGCCTGCTAAAATCAAAACATCAACACACTTCAGAGGAATAAAACAATCCAGAGTCTCTACAACATAACACTGCCGATGCCCAGGATAAAATCCAAAGTGACTTGATAAAACAGAAAATATGGCCTACTCTCAAAAGAAAACGAAAAGATGCCCACCTTGAGATGACCCAGATATTCAAATTATCAGGACTTTAAAACAGCTATCATAACTATGCTCAATGAGGTAAAGAGAACTATGCTTGTACGCAGTAAAAAGAAATCTCACCTGAAATACAGAAAAATCTAAAAAGAACCAAATGGAAATTCTAGAATTGGAATATACAATATCTGAACTAAATGTACTGGATAGACTTAATGGCAGAAGGTAGACAACAAAGAGTCAGTGAATTTGAAGCTACATTACTAGAAATTATACAATCTGAATAAAAAAGATTGAAAAAAATAAATGAACAAAGCTTCAGGACATTATCAAAATGCCTAACATGTATGTGATCAGAGTCATGTTCGGAAGGAGAGGAGAGAAAGGAGGGAACAAATATTTAAAGAAATAATGGCTAAAACCTTCCCAAACATGGTTAAAGATATAAATTTACAGATTCAAGCAGCTCAGTGAACTCCAGGTAATGATACTCAGATTATGTGTGGGTGGGTGGGGTGAGGAGGAGTATCAAGTGTGTGTTGGGGAGGCGGGGAGGAGGGGGAGGGGAGTGGCACAGAGAAGTTTAATAAATGATAGCTAAATTCTCATATTCATACTGGGAAATCAACAGTTAATACCTCAAACTGATATATCAAGAAATGTCCAATTAACTTGTTTTTTAAAAAAAGATAAATACCTTACAAGTCAGCCAAAAGTTCAAAGTGGTTCCCTCAAGGGGAGGGAAAAATGGGTGGAGGTAGTGAGAATGGGAGAATATTACTCTAATCTGTAACAAGCCTTATACATGTGTTTGACTCTTTGAATCATGGGCATATACAACTCCAGAAAAATAAATTTAAAAGATTTACATACCACTGTCTATTTTAAGATGGCAGTGTGATAAATACCTACTGGAAAACACTTAAATATTGAGTTACTAGAAAAGTTTTAAGGTCTAAATAAACTAATATTTATCTTTAAATATAAGTAAAGATAACAAAAATATGAAAGTGGGTCAAAAAAATATGAAGCAATTAGCCTAAAAGCCATTTGTTACTCTTATTTCCTCTGCTTCCTTCTACTGAGTTTTCAATGTTAGTCATGTTTGTGGGAAAAAATGGTTTGATGCAGACAAGTCCCCTGTTCTTTTGCTTAGTGACTTCAAAAAAATATGTGGACTAGGTCCAAAGAAGTAGAAGGTAGCAATGTGGATTGTAATAGTACATATTGCATGGTCTGAAATGGATTTCTGAAAAACTGACACGCAGAGTGGATCACAATAAATAATTTTCAGTATTCTGTGAACGTTTCAGGAAACTCTGCTTCAGTCCAGTACCCCTTTCCACTAAACAGAAATGACAACAGAGTTTTCAAACAGCTATAGAATTAAATATCTTAATTCTTGATAAGTCTATAAATATCTTAATTCTTGATTCTATATAAACCCAAGTCAAAATCAGCTTAAATAAAATTCTCTTGTATACCAATGCTGGCATATTCACCCAAAGGACTAAATTTAGATATTAACCATATTCCTTTTTACCTCTTACCACAAGTAATAAGCAATTACTCCTAATAATGCCATCAACAGAAAAAAAAAACTTTTTTTAGGAGTTGTTTAATAAACAAATCGAAATCTGTGCTTAACACATACAAATCCTGTCCCTTTGGACTTTAGGCAACAGCACTGGTTATTAAATGATCGATGACTTAGGTGCTGAAGTCAGATTTTGGTTGCTATGACCATCAATCATTTTTTAAATCTGGTACAACTGACAGTTCTCTGTATCTTTAAAATTGTTGCTAACATTCATTCTCAGAGATTTTCAATTTCAGGGAACGATATTTTTGGACAAATATGTGGCAAACAGACATGAATGCCAGATAACATCCTGATAAACAACCTCTAACAGCAAAACATTTTTAAATCTTAGAGGAACATGAATGAAACTAAAATTTCAAATCCACCTACCTCAGAAATAGGATTATGGATAATTTTTTAAACCTAATTTTCCACTTTCTATATTATTATGGTTCCCTACTTTTAAAAAACATGTTTGAAATTGCTAACAGCAATTTCCTCTGGGAAAGAAAACTGATGGCTAGGAAACGGGAAACGGAAACGAGACCTTTTGAATTTTATATACTGTGTGTGTGAATTTTAAATGCATGTTTAAAATGGTCAGAATGAGTAGGTTTATATCATTGATGAAATGTTTACTTTGCTAAGGAGATGCTTCAAGGGAAATTTAGGTAAGTAATAAAAAAAATGAGGTACCTCAAATTTTAAGTTTGTCTTTTTAATAACTGGGATCATATTATGCTTAAAAAACTTAGACGTATTTAAATTGTCTTTCATGACAGATACCAACTTTTGAAACTCATTTTATTTTTTCCATAATAAACTGATGACTAAAAGAAAAATTCCATCTTCTATTAAAATAGACAGGGGTGAAGTGGCTAAAACTTGACTTTCTCAGTTCCCAAGGACTGCATATATAAGCAGAAGCAAGGAACTAAAGCTTTTTTTTTTTTTTTTTACTTTTATTAAATTTATTGGGATGACATCGGTTAATAAAACTATACAGGTTTCAAGTATACAATTCTGTAATACATCATCTGTATAGTGCATTGTGTGCTCACCACCCAAAGAAGGAACTAAAGTTTTGACATACCTGCAGTAGAAGAAAGCCACCACCCACTGCAGTTGCTGCAAGTTTTCCAACTTTCTGAAACAAAAATCCTGCACACCTTTAGTGAAAGAAATAAGAAAAGATGAGATCAATAATGTACTCAACTGTCTTCTACTTTTCATTACTTTCCTAATAGAATCTTAACATCTTCCCACCTCTACTCATGTCCCTTACCTGCTCAGAAATCCCCAGTGTTCCCTGTCAGTTATATAAGCTACTCAAAAGTGCACAATCTAAGTTGTCTGAGATGTATGCTTTAGGAAAGAAAGAAAAGGAGGGAAATTTACAGGAAATAAAGATTGGCTGCCGAAACTGAACATTGAATATTCAGGGATTCATTGTACTTTCTTCTACATTTCTAAAGTTGAAATTCCCCATACTAAAAGGGATTTGTTTTGTTTAATATTGTCAAGATGTTCTACACACCTAACTCTCCCCCATGCTACTCAAACCTTCTGCTCCAACCCAATTAGTTTCCAAATAGGTCATCACTGTTGCTCAAGCTATTAATCTCCCTGTTTCTAGGGGTTTCCACCTAGCTCTACACTATCTAAAGCTTTTCTACCCTTTAAGGTCCAGCTGGAGTTCCATCTCATGGCTTCCTTACCTATATCTATATGTATCTCTATATTAAAGTCATTTTGTCTCATCTATCCTGAATGTCACCCCATACTCCTTTTGTGATTCTTTTCCTTCAGTGAGCTCATACCCTTCAGTATTCCAGATCCATTGTGTGCAAAAGAATCTTGCTAACTCTAGCCTTCTGTACTGGGTTAGTGGCCGCCAAAATTCATGCCATTCCCAGAACCTCAGAATGTGACTTTATTTAAAAGGTTACTGCAGATATAATTTAAGATGAGGCCATACTGGAGTAGGGTGGGCCCTAAATCCAATATGACTTAATCCAGTATGTCATAGAGACACACAGAGAGAAGATGGCCATGTGATGGCAGGACAGAGACTGGACTAAGTCTACAAGCCAACGAAAGCCAGAGATTGCTGGCAACCACTAGAAGCTAGATGAGAAGCATAGAACAGATTCTACCTTTGAGCCTCCAAGAAGAACCAACCCTGCCAACACCTTTCAGACTTCTAGCTCCCAGACCTGTGAGAGAATAAACTTCTTTTGTTTAAAGCCACCTAGTTGTGGTACTTTGTTACAACAGTCCTAGGAAACTAATATGCCTTCATAAATGGAAAATTTACATTTCCAATCACATGATGGAACTCCTCCAGCACTCAGAACCACATACAAGCATACCTTGTTTTATTGCGCTTCACTTTACTGCACTTCATGATGTTGCATTTTTTACAAATTGAAGGCAATACCCTCCACCAGCAAAAAGATTACCACTCTCATTGTTGTGGTGGTCTAGAATGGAACCCACAATATCTCTTGAGGTATGCCAGTATTCAAAATGCCCCAAAACAAACATCATCTTTCCAACGAAACCAACTGTTGCTAACCTCCCAATTTGAAAGTAATAGTACCATTCCACCAATAGTACACTTGCCACCTCATATTTATCTCAGACTCTGCTTCTTCATCGCCTTCAGGGTCCAACTAATTACCAATTCTATATACTCTATCTTCAAAACATTTGACTCATCTTCTTTGCACTCTCAAAGGCATCATTACCTTGTTCCCAGACCACACTAAGTAATCTTCCATACCCTCTAACAAATCTTCACACCTTCCATCTCTCCTAGCAACCACCCATCCTAACATGTTTTATTGTTAAAAAAAAAAAAAAAAAACCTACAACTACCTATAGCTAAATATAATCGCCTCAGCCTCCCACTCATGTCCTGAATTGGTCTGAATTGTTAACTAGCTAGGTTAATGTCTATTAACCATTCTTTCTTAATGTATGCCACAACAGTACATCTGTTTATACCTTAAGAAAACTGCAAAAATTTACCACACTGAATCTAAACTCATTGCAGCAAATCACTTGTGTAGTATGAGTTCTATTACACAGCTCCTAGGCCAACACCTGGCTATTATCCAAATATGTGTATTACTATAAAGATCATGTTCCTCAGCAGAGAAGTCAGCAACAAAGGCTCTGAAAAGGGAGCAGAGGAGGTAAGCAGCAGCCAGGTCTCCACAATATCCCAGGGAGCGTGCTCCACAAGCATGTCTATCCTTTGCTTGATGGCATGAGCCACTAAAATGAACTTCCTAACTTTCCCTGCTCTGCCAATTATGGGGCTTCTCGTCGAGTTTGACTTACAAGGAGAAAACACACAATGATTTAATTCTATTGCTCAATTATTTTCTAGTCTCTTTTAAGATGGGGATTTAGGCCCTGACTCACATTAACTAATCACCCATGGCACCGAATTGTGAGCTTATTTAAGCAGAAGACTAGACCCTGAATTATGGGGATCAAGGTACAATCGGCCTATGGGGAATCACCTGAATAACCAGATCCCTAACCAAGCATCTCTCTTTTAATTGCAAGCTTTTTCCATAAACAGCATTAATAGGCACACATCATGAATAAATACTGCACCTCTGCATCAAAGACCCGTCACAATGAATATTTCTACCATAAAATGGCATTTACAAAAAGGCATAGGAGTGCACCATTGTTCTAAAGTGTGTGTAAAATACAAATTTAAAAAATTAATTTTATACTGATCAAGTTTAAGTATGTAAATATTTAAATTAATATAAGATGAATTTAACTTGGAATCTAAGAAAAAATGATTATGCACAAGTTAAGCACCCATACCAACTTAAAAAATTCTCTATGGTCATGAACATTTTCAAAATAAAGGGTCAAACTTGTTTCTGACCCTTGTTATTTGGCTTATCTTTTATTTTAAGAATAACAATTAGATTTATAGTAACAATTATGTAATCATGTGGTCTGAAATGTTAACAGGTTACAATAATGCTTATTAACCATTTAATGTACCCCACAATATTATTAGTTAGCAATCAGCCCTTTAATTTCAACAGAGGCTCAATGTTCTACAACTCTTCAAGTATACAATCCAACTAGCCCACAAAAATCAACAGAATCATCTGTATCACAATAACTTTTACTGAGAATTTTACACTGCTCTCTACAGTGCAGACAATCCTGGACATAAGTTCTACTGTGGGAGTTCTCATGGGTTTTTCCAGTTGTTAGCAGTGAACAAGTAAAATATATAATTAACTCTTATCTATTTCTTCCTCTTTACTACCACTGAATCAGATCCACTACATTTGCTAAATTTGAGAAGGGGTTAAATACATAAAGAATCAAAGGAAGCATGAGGAAGGAAGAGTGGAATAGTGTTGGGCACAGGGGAGGGAGATCACCAAAACCCAACAGTCTCTGAGTATAGATTATACTAATCATATCACACAGAAAAGCCTCAAGGTAGAACTCATCTAGGATTAACAGTGTAAACCCACTGAGTGAGCACAGTAACTGTCCCATGCACAAAAGGGCAGCAGTCAGGCTCCCAATGAAATGTGATGAAAAAGATGTTCTCACCAGCCAGTCACTCCACCCATTACAATCTGGGTGGCTACTGAGTATTTTTCTACCATAGGTCCAGAACTGTGGCCAAATACTCGATTCCACCAGTGGTGTCTTCTTGCATACTCAGTTAAATCCAACACTTCGTAAGATTCGTCATCACTTTCATATTCTTCAAAATACAAAATGGGAAAAATAAACTTAGAGTCAACCGAAAGTCAGAAACATACTATACAATTTTTATCTGCTACATACAACTCACTGTTACTTCTGGACTACAGTTGACAATACCCAGATGAAAATACTGAGTTTCTTACATATAATCCCTGAGACTAGGGCCTCAAGAGTAAAGGGTCTAGCATTCCCTTTCCAAAGGCCCAAGGCCGGCCTGGGGAGTCCGAGCCAGGGCCAGGTCACAGTTACACAGCAGCGAGGGGTTACCCCAAAAATCTCAATACAGTCAGATCAGTTTCACAGCATGAAGGATCACCCCCAAATCTCAGTAGGGCCAGGGCCAGATCTCCTCTTTCTTAGTGGGAGAAAGAGGAGATCCTCCTCTGATAGAACCAGTTAGGGGTTCAGCAAGAAATCACTTCGGAGTTAAGACTAAAAAACATGTTTGAAGATAAAAATGAAAGGCCAGAGATGAAGGTAAGGCCCGAGAAGGGCTGGGCTATGAGCGGGTGTCGCACTTCCCCTGCGTTCCGCAGAGGGGAGGGGAGCCTAGATCCGAGGGGGTGCTCAAAAAGGATGCCTCAAAAAAAAAAAAAAAAGCCCCAGGAGCCATGGGGGGCAGGGAAAGAAAGAGACGCCCCGGGAGCAAGGTCGAGACCTGTGAGCCGCGTCTTAGATACTACTTTGGGCCCCGGCCGCTCACCTTGGGGAGGGGGATTCCGGGTCGCCATGATACCTCCGGCGGCCTGTATTGAGGGTGGTCCCCGCCCACCCTGCCTCTCGCCACTACTTTAAGAGCCGCTCTAGGCCCAGGTGGAAGTCTATGGTCTCTTTTTGCCTCCTCCTTCTCCTTCTCGGAGCGCGTTATCCTGTCCCCGCCCCCTTCTCTCAGCGCAGGGTCTTCCGCGCAAGCGCAAGACTAGGGGGTGGGGGAGGAGAGAAGTCGTGAGCCGCCCCGCGAGGACTTGTGGGAGCTGTAGTTTGTTGCCCTCCGCAACCCTGGCTTCCCGCCCCCACTCCCTAGAATTTCCACAGCCTATATTGTTGTTAGCGTTTAAAGAGCCTTAGGGCCGGAGGGTTCATCGCATGATGGTATAAAGCGAAAACTAGCATGGCATTTTGAACACTACCGCAATTCAAACCCTTGAGAAAAAAGGCTCTCAAAAAGAGATTAAGAGAAACCCGGTTCACACTGTCCTAAGAAGGCAAGCTCACCAACCGGTGGAAAATTTTTCTAACGTGCTGCTGCTGGGAATTGGAACTTTTTTATTCACTCCCTCTCCACACGTTTCCTGCCAGTAACCCGAGGGAGGTAGAGAACAGCCCAGGAACTGACCTGACTCGAGTTATTCCAGAAGATATAATTTTTTAAGCATCATTTTATTTAAATCTGACAAAAGAATGAGGTCAAGTTCTAAAAGCCCCACAGATGTTGTAGAATGAAAAACCGTGATCACTAAGCAGCTAACTCAGGTTCACATAAACCAGCCCCCAAACTTGTTTTGAACTTGCATTGTACCTGCATTTGCTATACAATTAAAATAGCCCTCTCAGTGTTCGTTTTAATGGAAAAACAAGTTCTCATACAGGTTACGTTACATAAAATATTGACTTAGAAAAATCACATGTAGCTTTTTAAATCCTGGTGCTTTAAATGCAAGGGTTGATTCTCTGAAGTTCCTCAGCCTGTGGCCCCCAAAATGTAATTCTAAGACTGGCTGGAGATGTTAGTATTCAAAGACAGTTACTTTGTATAAGATTTCACTTTTCGAAAAATAAAACAACTTTAAGGGACACAACCTCAGATGTCCTCACTGAAATATTTTTCCAAAAGTTACAAATTTGAGTTCATACACTCCTTCCTTCCCATTGCCCACCCACTCCTAATGAGATGCTTACAAGTAGAGAAATAGCAAATTATGAGCCATTGAAGAGAAAGGAGAAAACAAGACAAATTACAGATTGAAAGAGCAAAAAGTATGGTTGACTGGGCCAATGACATGCAAATGACACTTTCATATACTTCTAGTAATATCTGCCAACCACAGAAAGAAGTCACTGTTTATAATTAAATGGTCAAGGAGAAATTAGGGAGACAATGTAAATAAAACACTGCCCTGAAGATGCCAAAGAATAGACCTTTGTATTTCAGTTATATCCTATTGACCTTTAAAAGAATGTACATGCCCAAAAGGACTCCTCATGGTTAATTGGGTTCAAATTCATAGCAAGAGTCTAGCAGCCATTGTTTACAAAGATCCCTAATACACACTGCATTTCACAGAAAAGCTGCCCTGAAATACCTGCCTCCTGTACTGTATTCCTGCTATGTGAGCAGACCCTTATAAAGGAACTCCTAGACTGGTAAATCAGCCAATGGGCTGAAGAGATGCCCTAGTCAACTGGGGCTGGTAGCTATATCCTCATTTGCATATTCGCTAACCAATCAGAGCAGCTCCACTTCAATCAATCTGGTCAGCGCAATTTGGACCAAGCAAACAGTGAGGATTTGGAGTCCTCATTTGCATAGAAACGAGCTAATCAGAAACCAGGGAAAGGCGCCGGTCTCTAAATAAGCCAGCTTCTCGTCTCTCTCACTGGAGGTCACTTTCAGGTTCCATCAAAGATTGTATTTCCTTGGCTGGAGCTGCAACAACACCAAGATGAGCTGCAACACCTGAGCTATAACACCAAGGTCTCCTCACCCAGACTGCCTCACCAGTGCTACCTCACAGCCATGCTGTTCCACAACCATGTGGTTCCATGAGATTGAGTTATCTCACACTGTGCTATTACACAGTTGAGCTATTTCACAACTGAGCTGTTTTCACTGAATAAAGTCTCTTCCCTCACTGCACACCAAATTGGGAATTCCTGTTGATGTTGAATTGAAGACAACAAGCTTCAGTTGTCAATCCAAAAATGAATTAAAAGGCACTCATTTCTCTGAAGGCCTTGAAGGCTGAGAAGGAACTTTTTAATGCTCTTCCCTTCCTTCTTACAGTAATATACCCTTGCCATTACCTTAAAGAAGTTGGTTGTATAATGTTTTTCTAAATGTGAATTTTTTCTTAACCAGTAGAAAAAAGGCTATCATTTTGTCGGCTCGATGATAAATGGTTTATTGTGTAAATTGTATACACAAACATTAAAAGGCTCTATGATCCTCCTGGTGGGTTCAAGTGGATGATATTTTATAAATTCCCATCTTAAATAGTGTATTTTTTTTTCCAGTCAGCACTAATAAACATTTTCATTGTGAACACATTTATCTACATTTGTACCAAAACATAATTTGGGTAGTCTCCAACTTTTCAATAGGTAGTGTTCCAAAAGTTTATGAGTAACTTATTTGAAATAGAGAACATTTTCTATTTATTTCATAATGAAGCTGTAATAAAACTATTCCTTTCTGATCTCTTATGGCACGAACGACTCTAAGACCCACAGAGCCAATTGAGATTAATCATGAGCCTTTATTAGCCGGCCAGCGACTGACTCTACCACGCAGGGTTAGAGGAGATTAGCCCCGGGGTTTGAGAGTGAGGCAGTTATAAAGCCTAGAACAAGCAAGCATATTACAGAAGCAGAAGTTGGCCATTAGCACAATACATCACCTAGTACCACACCCTGGTTAACAAGTAAGTGGATCACAGAAGCAGACATTGGCCATCTTCATATCTTATACAATACACCTCGTAAACCACACCCAAGCAAGTAGGACAACTTCTGGTATCTAAAGATATTTCTTCCCTATAGCTGATTTAGCTAGTTGGCTCACTTGAAAATTTTCCACCCTTAAAAATCTCCACCTTTCTTCATTGTCTTTGGAAACCTCATTTGTTAAAAACAATTTAGACAGAATTGAGAAAAACAAAAGGCAGACGAAACAACAAACAGAAGAGCATTTCGCACGTCCTGGGCAGCCTAATCTCCCCCATTGGCTAGACCGTCACTCCCTACTAGATATCTGCACTTGAATGACCTACAAATTCAACAAGTTTAAACCAACTCTACATTATCCTTGAAGCTACTTAAAGAAACAACAACAAATTCAGTCACTTCTTTTTCCCTTCCCTTTTCTCCCACAGTTAAACAGTCATTTATCATGTACTTGCACCACCTAGGCTGTGGCTTGCATTCTCAAGGCTATCCTTTAAATTATTGCAATGGCCTCTCAACTGGCTTCTTTCTACATTCTCTTGCTTCTCCCAGTCCCACCCCAACCCAATCTATTCTGTCACTAGATCTTCCCTACTAAAACCTGACTGCAGTTGACCCTTAAACAACACAGGTTTGAACTGCACAGGTCCACTTATACGCTGATTTTTTCCAATAAATACTGTAAATATATTTTCTCTTCCTCATGATTTTCTTAATAACATTTTATTTTCTCTAGCTTACTTTTAAGAGAAAAACCACAGGCCCAAAACGGCACAACTTGTCCTAAAAGCCCGTGATAGCGAACCTAGATTTAATACCTGATCTAACTGAAGTTTCTTTCTTCCTTCCTTTCTTTCATTTTTTTCAGGCGAGGCAACCCTTGGTTGACCTCGCAGATTTCAAGGACCTTGTCAGTTTACAATCCCTAATTTTTTTATTTTTTATGCCTACAGCACCTAGTCTTCCTAAGTGGTCTCCCATCCAAGTACTAACTAGGCCCGACCCTGCTTAGCTTCTGAGATCAGACAGGATCAGTCTTGTTCAGGGTAGCATGGCCGTAGACTTTTTTGTTTTTTAATTGCAGTTTCAACCTCTCCCAGAAACATAATCTTAATCACCCAGTCTGGAATTTTCTGGTCAAGCACTACTAAAGTAATCTGTCAATTGGAGCCTCTCCAACCCACCTTTCTCACCATAGAAAGAAGAGGCAATCTGCACAATAACAACTCTTCTAGTTCTCTTCCCCCAAAGAAATGTGTCCCCCTCCACAAAATAATCTTTTCTTTTCATTTGTTAATAGCTCCCTTGCCCCACCCTGCTTCCTATAAGAAAGCTTCCATTTTGTACAACCCCTCAGAGTGACTTTCTAGTTGCTAGATGAAATGCTTCCCAATTCATAAATCACTTAATAAAGACAATTAGATCTGCAAATTTAGTAGGTTGAATTTTTTTAAATACTTTCTTGTAAGAATGCCTTATATAATACATATAACTACAAAATATGTGTTAATCAACTATGTTATAAGTAGGACTTCCAGTCAACTGTACACTGAGTAAGTAGTTAAGTTTTGGGGGAGTCAAAAGTTATCCCCAGATTTTCGACTACGTGGGTCCAGCATCCTAACCTCCACATTATTCAACAGTCACCTGTATATCCTTTCTCTACTTAAATAATTGCAACGATTGCCCATTACAAGATAAAGTCTAAACCTCTCAAGCCATACTGCAAGGATGGGCAAACTTTTTCTGAAAAGAGCCAGATTGTAAATATTTTAGGTTTTGCTAGTCATGTATAGTCTTTGTCACAGCTGGTTGGGGTTTTTTGTTTGTTTTTAACAATTCTTTATAAGAATCATTCTCTGCTCACAGACTACAAAAACAATATGTGGGGCAAATCTGGCCTAAGGTCATAGTTTGCTGACCTCCCACATACAGAACCCTTTACATTTTGGACCCAAGTTACTTTTGGCCCCCTACTACAGCTTGTTCCAAGTTTCCTTCTTTTATACACCCACTGAACTTGTTAAGTTTTCTGAATACACATTCCTTTTTCCAGTATTTTTCATGATTGGTTAATGTTCTTTTTCTCTCTAAAAGCAATGGCTCCCTTTTCTGCCAGGCAACACTCAGACATAATTTAAGACACATTTGAAAAGTATTTTCTGCATAATTTTTCTCTATTTCCCCCATAGACCTCCCTCCCTTCTTTA